GTCGGTCCGTAAATGCTGTTCACGAGATGCCTCTGAAGCAGGCAGCAAGCTAAGTCAAACGTCAATGGAAATTAATAATGCCCGAAGATCGGTATATCTCACGAACCACCGTTTCAATCCATCACAGATATCCGCTAAAGAATTTAGCCTACACGGAACTTGATTCAATCAGAACCTGTAAGATCATATTATTATATTAATCAAGTTCATATATTCCAGCGGTTTTCTATATCAGTATAGGCCTACAGTGGGCGTATCTCGTCCACCGTTCTGTCAACCATCTTAACCACTCATCGTTGTGAAAAGCTGCACTGTATTACCGTCGCAATCTGCCAAGAGAGAGGAGCCAAGCTCTAAACAGAATGTACCAGATTGTCCAACCCCAAAACTAAACCGCCCAATGATTCACACATGCATCCGCATATTTATATGCCATGGCGTTTTTGCGTCATTGTGCACGTGGCACACGCGTTTTTTTCCCCAACTGCATTACCGGTTCGGATCTATTTGATCTAATTTTCACCGCAGTAAGGAACCCTATTAATTAATATACAAGAGGCAGTACAGTACGTAAAACGTGAAACCAGGGCGTCGAATTTAACGCGATCGGCAAACCGGCGCAATTGCGTCGTGCCTCCTATCAATGCGAGCCGTACTGCCACCTGAAAATCCAACCCGAACGAACGCAAGTGACATCCTATGCCCTTTATCTGTAATTGCCGGTCGGTGACCGTCTGCCCTGCTAGACTGGAGTTCGCAGGCCGCAACTGTTGTCGCAGAGCGTGTAACATTTCTCTATCAGAGCGTGAGGCCGGATACCAGTCTACTCGGCGGCAAAAAACAATAAACGTGGTAATTGCTGCCAACCGATATATAGTGCACCTGTGTATGCACGTGGTGAACACGATATTGCTGCACGCCCGATCGGCCCGCGTGCGATTTAAAGCGCGGGAAATGACGCTCGCGCAAGATGCCATGTGATCATTACGTTTGTGAGCTTGCTAAGTCGGCAGTAAATTTAGAGAATTTTAGTAGAATTTCATCACCGATGACACAACAGATTTTCCGATCAACAATTGCGCTTGGTGTGCCCTTCTCGAAATTGTGAGAGTTGCTTGACTGACCTGTTTTAAAATTGCCTCGGCCGCCTCCATTTTTAGAAGAAAATTCAAGGCAAATTCCACCATGCCCCAAACAAATGCTTGGCCCCTCTCGTCGCTTAATTCGACGCCTGGTTGAAAACCATGTTGCAGGTATGATTATTTCAAATTAAGTATAACGGTCCCCGTGGTGTAGGTTTATGACGAGTCTCTTGCATGTGATTTACGTAAGTCTGGAGGGCTGGTCCTGACCTTGTCATGTAATAGAGCGAAGAAGGCAAAATGTCTGTCGAGTGCCCATGGTGACACGAGAGAGATTGAGCGGCGTGAAGAGATCGGGTAGTTGCGCTGAAGCACCGATGTTACGACATTAATCATAGCTGGTGTGGGCGGACTCCACTGCTCGAAGGTGTGGGGCAGTTGTGTGTGTTCGTCGTCGCTCGCTAGTGTGTAGCTCGGGCACTAATGTTGGCGCTGACATTCGGCCTGGTGTATCGCGGACGTCATAGCTACCAAGAGTTTACTATAACATCCCAGCGTTGAGGGTGGGCACAGGTGGGGGTCATCACGATGGGCAATCCATAACAGCACCTACATTCATTCCAACATTTGTCAATCATTGACGAAAACACGCGAGGTTTACCGAAGTTATAACACTTCGAGAGACAGTCACAGTAACTGACTGATCTCGAGTCAGTTTTCAGCGAAAATACCAGATTTTCACCGCTCATTATCTCAGCGTAGGGGCATCGTAGGGACATATGCGGTTTGTTTTATATGAACAAGGTAGGACAGCTGATCAATAATACTGCACAGAATTGTCAAAATAAAACGGGGAAAGTTTATTAATTAGACTAATACTGCAACATGGTTTCAGCATTTTACCGTTGTACGTTCTCCTTCTTTATTAACCCGACCAGGCTGTGTGACTAACGTCAATACACCTAGTCTAATTCTAACCCTAGCAATACCGTCTCTTGGAGCTACTTCTTTATATGCTCTTGATATTATATATTAGTGACATAGCTCCAAGAAACGGTATTGCTAGGGTTAGAATAGACAATCCGACAATATAGACAATCCGTCGCACAGCCTGGTCGGGCTAATTAGTGACATAGTGTTAAGTGATACTGATAGTGTTTTGTGATAGTGATAGTGATGTGGATAGGGTCTATGTCCCCCAGGGTACTGCCGGAACGTACCCTGGGTAACTATCTAGCTGATATGGTTAGGGTGGTTCAAGGATAGAGAACATGGGTCCCAATAAAACCAATGTCAATGACAATGTCATTTACATCAATATAAATATAATATTATATCAATATAATACTATTAATAGGTTAGGGTTATAGTTAGGGTTAGGGTTAGGGTTAGGATTAGGGTTAGGGTTATAGTGTTAGAATTAGAAAATGACATAGGTCTCAATGGGCCCCAGCCCATGTTCTCTATCCTTGAACCTTACTAGATTGATAGAGATACGTCATTGCCACGGCACCTGCCCTGGTTCAGTTGCCAGTTTAATAACAATAACAGGGTCTCTAAATTATGTAGGTCGCTTTTATGCGCTACTTACTGTGAATTGACTAACTAGACCAATTTTACTAATAATAATGACATACCTCTGCTCCTCTAAGATATTTTATTTCACTGAAAACTTACTATCAGTGTATCACGTTTGTTTCTCACGTTTGGCGGGGATAGGACTGGCACCTTCGTCCGCCGCAGTGACTGTTTTGCTAGGAAATTATAGGGTCCTACTAAACAGCAAAATGTGCTACTAAACAGCGAAATGTGCAGGAATGTGCAGAAATGTGCGCGGAATGTGCAAGAATGTGCGCGAAATGTGCAGGAATGTGCGCGGAATGGGAGGAATGTGC